CCAAGGACCCCTACTGGTAAGGTAGGTACCAGCCAGGATTCAAACCCTGGTCTCCTGCATCATTGGTGGTGCTCCAACCACCATGCTATCCAGCTGCTCATATAATAAACACACACACACACAAATATTCATATATGTAACCTCAGCCTTCCTTCAAAAACTCATGTAAGACTGTTACCAAAGTCCTCTGCTTAAGCCCCAGTGAGTCGTGTATGGCAGAAATGCAGTTTGAATTCAAGACTTGTAAATGTATGATCATTTACATATATACACATAGGTGAGTCTATGCATACATGCATACATATATCCCCTCTGCCCCATGTCAGCACTTCTCTCGCTCTTCGGCTCCAAGGACTGGCACTTGGTCCCTTCCAATAAAACTTGAGTTCCTTCCAGCCACCTGTGCGTGGTGCAAGGCAGAATCTAGTACAGCCCATGGTTGCTGCTACACGTTCTCCAGCGCTTCCTTTCTCTTGCTGACACTATGCCCTTATGGCTTCTTTCCTCTTAAATAAACATCGTGTTTGTGTTTAAATGCAGCATATTTTGCCTTGGGATTCAAACAAGAGGACTGACCTCTTTCAGCCAAGGGAATGCCGCAATGGCAGAAGCAGCTTTTATGGCCAAGGAACAATTAGTGTGTGTTTAGATTAGTGTGTGTTTAGATGTGCACGCACGCATTAGGACTACCATGTCCAGGCTACAAATATCTAGATGACCACGAGATGCAACAAATGGATGCCTCAAATTCTTTTGGCCACCATCTACGGGGCTTCAGATGTTTCCAGCTCAGTTTCAGTAGCCTTAAGACATGTGGATGTGGATTTTGTGGGGAAGGAAAGAAGGAAGTGAAATCATAGATAGGAATTGGGTTGACTAAAGGCAGGGTTTTCATTCAACTCTGCATTACGCAACTTCAAGCCCAGAACATTTTTCCAGTGCCCAATCCAGCCTCAGCAAGTATGAAGTAAATAAGGAGAGAGTGATTCTAAGCATAGGCAGAGTGCATTTCTCTTCTAATCATAAAACCAGAGGCATGCATCGAATTACAAAGTGTAACTTGCAGAACCCTGGCATTTCCCATTCTGCAAATGAGAAAACCCAGTTTCTGGAACTGCTAAAGCTGAGGTGGGGTAGACGTTACTTGGGGTAGAAACACATCTGAGTGCAGCAATACAATAACATCCTTGCATCAGTTGTAGGAGGGTAGTAGCAGGGGACAGAACCCCAAAAGCTTGTGCAGAGAAGCCCTTCTGACACCCCAAAGCAGTGTTTCTCAACTTTGGCAACTTGAAGACGTGTGGACTTCAACTCCCAGAATTCCCCAACCAGCCATGCTGTCTCAAAGGGACAGGCATATCACCTCCTTTCTCACATCAAAGAGTGCCCCATATTGCTACCACAATCTTACAAGTTGCTAGAAAGTTTCCTCCGTCAACTACACAAAATGTCTATTTACTCAGCCTGTCCTGGAAAGAGTGTTAGTCAACTGAAGCTAACAGTTAAAGCAACAACAATTCTTGAGAATCCTTTAAAAAACTCTAATCTAATCCAGATCTAGTTACTTACAGCATAGCAATGACTCAGCCACATTTGCTCTCTTGATAAGTGGTTGTGGCAGGTTTCTCCAACCTGGCAGCCTCCCACTGTCTTGGATTACAAGGCACACTACTTCCAACCAGCATGGCCAATGGCTGGGTTGGTAGGAGCCTCAATCCAGCACATCTGGAGAATGTCAGTATGGGGGAAGACTGGCTTCTAGACTGAGATTGAGGAACAAGAAAGGAAACTCTCCCAGTGCACTGGCATTTAGCATCTATGTATGTGCACTGGAAGACAAGTTGAATATCCTCACATGGCGAAACAGGAACGGTGGTTTATCCAGGGCAGTCAAAACAGCTGGAGAAATTAGATTGTGAAAAGCCGTGGCTAGTGTTCAGATCACAAGTGGTTTTTTTTCTTGAAAGGCAGCTTCTGCAGGGGCTGGGTTTGGACGCTGGTTCCTCCAAAAGCCGCAGTAACTGGATGTACACATCCTACTAAACCATGTTATGTTTCACCATAACATGGTTTAGTATAACAACACTCTAATGAACCACAGTTGTCTGAGTCTGCACATCATGCTAAAGTTGATTCGTTTCCTAATTCTACAAACTCAGCCTGCTTGTTTAGCCTAACCCTAACCCAAACCTAGCAATTTAGCATGTTGTAGAAATGTGTTCAAAGAGAAGTCCTGGGGTTGGCCTACATTCAGTTCTCTTGTAGGGAACTGAACAGAATGTTGTAAAACAAATCAGTGATTTAGCAACCTCAGAGGAGCCCGAATTCATGAGGCAAAGTTGAATCAACAACACTCCCTCCTCCTGATGGCTAAAATCGGCCTTCTTCAATGGGGCTCTGCACATCTATTAAATTACAATTCCCATGATTCCTACCTACGTTCCTGCTGGGTGTGCTGGCTGCAAATCAATCAGGGATGTTGTAGTTTAGCATATGTGGAAGGCCTCAGGTTGAAGAAAGCTATTTTGCAGTTCAAACATATTTGGTGGCAAATATTTACTATCTGGATAAACAGTGAGGAGAGAGGAAGAAGAATTGACATCTGCAGTCCATGCGTGCTCATTAACAGATGTGCAGGATATATGTGTCACCTCATCCCAGCAATTTAAGGTCAAGAAAATAAGATTTTAGATGGCTGAGGAAGCATCTTCATTAACTCATATATGTTTGTTTAAAGCTATCCCTAACAAGCCTCTTAAATGAGAGCAATGCAAGCAGGATCGAGCATGACCAAGTGGATTACTCAGTGTTAGGGATGAGAGCCTAGCTTTTTCTCCCCCCAGCAGGCCATCACCTTGCTCTCAATTCCAATGTGGAGGCACCTGCTTCTCAGCGGGCTGTCTCTTCCCCATTCTTTCCTTACCCAGCGCACGTGTAGTGCACGTTCAAGATTGGACCAGTGGATACACATCCAGCATTTCCACAGCTCAGGGAACAGCCAAAAGATGACTGAAGTTGCCATAACATCACAGAATGGGTGTGCTATTACAGAGTGATACTCCAGAGTAGTGTTTCTCGATCTTGGCAACTTGAAGGCGTGTGGGCTTCAACTCCCAGAATTCCCCAGCCAGCATGGCTGGCTGGGGAATTCTGGAAGTTGAAGTCCACATGCCTTCAAGTTGCCGAAGTTGAGAAACACTGCTCCAGATAGTTACACCCATGAACTTTCCTGGAGTGCTGGACTTCTGCGAGAAGGAAGAAAGAAAGAAGTTGTGACAATCACTGCTGTTGTTCTGAATCAGGGATGCAGAGAAGGATCTCAGAGGTTAGGTGGGGGAAAAGGAGACCCGGTCACAGCTTTGGGAAGGACTGGGCCGGGAGGATACCGAAAGAAAAGAAACCCCAAAGGCAAGGCAGTGGGGTATGCTCCCCAGAGTGCAGTTTGCATCGGTAACCCCACTATCCCCATCCACAATGTTCCCTTCTCTACATTGATAGTTCTCCATTTCCTGCAAGCACCAGCAGCTTCAATGGGCCCCCTTTCATAGTTGGTGGTTTTTTTCTTGCTGCTTCAAAAGGCCACCAATGCTCTAGTCGGGAAAAGTTTCCCCTGAGCAGTAGAAGCAGGTTTGGGATTATTATCTGCAAACCAAGGGCTTCAACAA